AAACATTGTCATCAAAAAAAATCGACAACACTTCTTTTAAACATGAATTGGAAACCTTACTCTGTTGAACGCTATTGTTGCCAACAGTCAGAAAAACTCAGTAATGGTGTGAGTTTTACTAAATCAAGAAAAATAAATAAAAGGCTTATTGGTCGCCCTGTTCACCAGGCTGATGTTTGTGAAAAAGTTTTGATGTTTTCAATGATTGCTGCCATTAAAAAAAAGCATTGTTGTAGTACATGACTCAGAAAAAAATGTTAAACAACTTAAAGTTGGGTTTAATCCTCATTTATAGCTTTGAAAGTGTAGTTTATGTGGTAAAATACCATAACAACCAGCAACTTTTAAAACAATCGAACATTTATTTTGCTTTTATTGTCTAGTAGAAAATATAATGGTAAACCTTCTGAAGGGAACATTATGTCCAAAATGATACTTTTTAATAAGTATAATAAAAACAGTCTCTCTCTCTCTCTTATATATATAATAAATATATATATATATATAAATATATATAAATATATATATATATATATATAAATATATATAATATATATATATATATATATATATATATATATATAAATATATATATTATATATATATATATAATATATATATATATATATATAAATATAAATATATATATATATAAATATATATATATATAAATATATATATATATATATAAATATATTTAAATTTATATATATAAATATATATATATATATATATATATGTATATATATATATATATATATATATATATATATATATATATATATATATATATATATAGATATATAGATATATAGATATTTATATATTAAACATTGTATATTCATTAAGACCGATGCAATTAGACATTAAAGGATACTTTTCTTTTTATTAACTATTATTTATTTATTTAACTAAATAATATTCTATAGTACTACAAAATTACTCTCTAAATCTAGAAAATAGCTTATATTTATTATGCAAGAGTGTATATTTATTATATTATCTTAATGTTTGCTGACCTAAAATAAAAATGAAACAAAACACCCTTTTACTTTGGTTTATATGTAAATACTCTAGACAACTCTAGTGTGAGAATGATTTTGCAGGACCCTTTACGGAAACAACAATGGGAAATATATATTTTCTAAGTTGCAGTGATTCATTTTATAAGTGACCGAATGCACATGCCTTACCAAATAAAGAAGCTGTCACCGTTGCAATAGTAATTATTCCGCTAGTAACAACTTTTGGATTTTTTTAGGCTATATTTACAGACAACGAAACTGAGTTTTGCAACCAGATAAAAGATATGGTTATATTTCGTAAAACTCTATGGGATCGCTTATTAATTATACTACTCATAATTTTTTAATAAAACGACGAAATACACAAAACAATGGGCATTGAAGGAAGATAAACAGCTGTTTATCACCCACAAACCAACGGGCAGGATGAAAACACCAATAAAAATATAGAAAGGTTACAGTTATTTTTGCTTAGGGCGAGGACCGCATAACGATATTCATCAGTGAGCTACAATGTTTATATTAAACGGATTTGAAACGTTTTGCTTGCTCTATCAAATATACTCTACCGATGATGTTATCATATTTACTGAATAGATCAAAATCAATTTATCAAATATATTTTAGTAAACATTGTAGTGTATGTATATTGTAATGTATGCATTAATTTTGATAGAATGTATATTATAATTTTGTTTTGGATTGCATCTCTTTCGTAGAACTTATATGCTTTTTTCCGCTGAAAAAAACTAAGAAACTGGTTAATAAAAATCAAAAAAATTGGGACAAATATCGGGATGTTATTTTATACCCACTGCGAGTGGAGAGGTAACAATCTACGAAAGTATCCCCGTTTGAAATAATGTTTGGTGACCGGTCACCTGTTTGTACTAATGACTTTTTATTGTAAATCCATAAATTAAAAATGTATATATGTATATATATATATATATATATATACATATATATATATATATATATATATATATATATATATATATATATATATATATATATATATATATATATATATATATATATATACATACATATATATATATATATATATATATATATATTTATGTATATATATATATATATATATATAAATATATACATACATATATATATATATATATATATATATATATATATATATATATATATATATATATATATATATATATATATATATATATAGAGGTATATACACACAGAAATACAATACATTGGTGTCGAAGATAAGGTATTGTTACTTGACATTAGAGATCGACGATCAGAAGACGCCGCATTCAAACCTTACTTTAAGGGACCGTTCACTATATCCATGTAACGCGGGAACTTTAGGTTAAAGGACGATAACGGTGCAAAAATATTGGGATCGCACAAAAAAATACATGTAAAAAATTTCAGTAAAAGTAATGTAAAGTGAATAAGTAATAATGAAAAGTAATGTAAAATGAAAGGTAAAGCGAATAACTTTTTATAAGTACAGTTCTTCGTTACATTGCTAGTTAGCTAGAAATGTAGATCTTTTGCAATTCTGTTACGGTACTTGTTTTAAGATGATGTCAGTGTTAATAAAGATATTTTGATCGACAGAACACATATTATTTATTTAATTATCCCGCATATACGTAGTTTATTTAATTTAAAAAGTTATATTTAATAGTGGTTTCAACTTTTTACAAAGGTTGCTGATTCAAAGGTAGAAAGGGCAATGATAGTAGGTACGCGGAATTCGCGATTTACGGAACCAATTATTATTTTGCTAAAATTTTGGTTTTCGTTTTTATAACTCTTTTTTAGGCAGCGTGAGGCAGACGTAGTTTTGTGTAGCCTTTCTTCTTTCCAAATAGATACTTTTTGGAAAGAAGAAAAGCTAATCTTGCTTTTTTAAATACTTTTGTATATATATGGTTACTGAACTTTTTTATAGAATATTTTGCTCCTGAATATTAGGTTGATGTTCTATCATAATTTTGTGGTCGAAGAAATGTAGAGTCCGCTTTTTTTATTATTAAAATAGTTTGTTTCATGCTTTTTCTATGCACATGCCAAATTTCAACATAAAATAATTATAAGCAAATAGTTTAATTACTGTTATACCAAGTATACCACTTTTTTTAGGTAGCCCTAGCCAAATGGTTTTTTGAGGTGGTTCCATTTAGGAACATATAAAACTTTGACAACTTTTAAAAAGAAGAAAGGTCAGGCTTGATTTTTATATAACTATTGTGTATCGCTGCCAGTCTTTTATATGGAGTATTTTGCTGAGAATTTCGCGTGAAAATTTGGTTGATGTTGTCACATAGATTTGTAGTCGAAAAAATGTAGAGTCTGCTTTTTTTATTATTAAAATAGTTTGTTTCATGCCTTTTCTATGCACATGCCAAATTTCATCGAAAAATAATTATAAGCAATTAGTTTAATTAGTGTTGGACTTTAGGTACCTAATTTCGGTTTTTCTGTTTTTTTTTTTTTTGGTAAGCGAAATCCGGTTGGCGCCCAAATCCGGATAAGGGGGCGTTTCAACTAATATTCTTATTTTGAATTATTGTGATATATATTATTAGATTTAAAAAAATATGGCAAATTATAGCAAAAATGTGTTAGATGCCCTTACAGAAAGTAAGTTCAATTTTTTTTATTCTTAATAATAGTATTAATAACTACTTTTAACTCTAAAAAATAATGATTAATGTAAAACCTTCATTGTTTTTTATGTAACATATTAAAAAAGATTAATGTTTAAGATTAAAATTATATTATAAATTATATTAAAATTGTATTCATTGAATAATTCAATAGTCACAGTTTTAATTTTTTAAACACTAAAAAGTTTTTTTGTTAGGCTTACACTAACGCAGTATGTAATTTACTCATTTGTATGTGGTTTATAATAGCCTATTAAAACTGATTGTCAATTGTTAGATTCAGTTGACAATTTATTAAAACATCACATATAAACAATTATATTACATACTTCATTACGTTAATCTTAACAAAAAGCTTCTTATTGTTTTTAAAATATAACAAAAGATATCATTATTATTGTCTTTTATCATATTTGGATTATATACTTCTTTATCTATGGATTAGTGTTTAAATCATTAAACAAGCATGTCTAATATTTATTTCTTGTTTAGATCCTGCCCGGCTTTTTGTTGATTTTTTGAGATTTCGTAAGTATAAATCACATAAAGTTTAGATTTAATATTCACAAAGAGAAAAAGTATACAATAAGTAAATATTAATAAACATTTATAATAAGATATTATAAATGTTTATTAATATTTATAGAAATCTATAGAAAGTCTTAAAAAAACTAGAGTTAATTTTTTTACTTATTGTATATCATCTTTTTATGTGTTTATCGTTTACATAAGTTTATAACCATTCCTAATGTTAACTTGTTGCTTATAAATATATTATCTTTATATTTTAATAGTTATATTTAGTTGTTTATTTTCATTTTGTTAGTATAGTTGTTGCATCTTTAGTAGAAAATCTTTTAACTTTTGTACAGCTTTTAACATTTGTAACTTACTGTTGACAATTTCAAATTATTTTGTGCACAAATTTTTTGTTATTTTTAGTCGAATCTACACAGCTCATCACTGGTAAGATTTTATCAGTTTGTATATGCTAATGATTATAGAATTAGCTAGTACTTTTTATTCTGTAAATAAATTTCATAGATTACCGATTTCAAAGTCCTTATTTGCAATATTTATCTTTTATTACAAATTTTGAATTTAAGTTACATCTTTGTCTTCAACAAATGGTAAATTTAACAATTATTTCTTTTTAATATGTGTATATATTTTTGATGACTGCAGTATAAATTTTTTATTAAATAGTTCTTAACCTTAGTTCCTTCTACATCTGCTATAAGAGGTATGTTTACTAATTTTTACTTTTGAAAATGTTTATGCTTATCTTGACAATTTCAGTAATTATTTTTAATTACAA